AATACTGCGAATGAGATCCCTAGCTTTCAGGCAAAATTCAGTTTCTGGTTTGATTTTATTTAGCTTATGAAACACTGAAAGACCACAGTGCAAACAAAACAAATGTGGCATCAAACAAACAAATATACATAAAACATTCATTCTTTTTGTGAACTATACAAACTATCCCAAAGACCTGTGATTTGAACAGAAAGTGTTCCTTAGAGAAGTGGGGATTTTGTACATGACTGAGGTATGAGAAACATTTAGGGGTCATCTGGTAGACATGACAGCCAAAGTGACAAGAGAATGAGAATAAAAGCAAAGCCAAAGAACAGAGTTTTAGAAAACCTCTGCAGTGATAATAGGAGACAACCAAAGTGATTGAGAGCTATCACAAAATTAAGAGGGAAACCTGGATAATTACTGTGTCCAAAATAAAAAAAAAAATTAAGTACAGGTTGAGGATCACTCATCTGTGATGCTTAGGACCAGAAGTGTTTTGGATTTCAGATTTTTATGGATTTTGGAATATTTGCACTATGCCAGTTTAGCATCCATAATCCCCAAATCTGAAATCTGAAATGCTCTAGTGAATATTGCCTTTGAGCGTCATGTTGGTGCTCAAAAAGTTCCATATTTTGGAGCATTTCTATTTTCAGAATTTTGGATTTGGGATTTTCAATCTATATGTGTAGATGCCAGATGCTGAAAAGAAAAGGCTGCAGGAGGCTGGGCGGGATGGCTCATGACTGCAATCCCAGCACTGTGGGAGGCTGAGGTGGGCGGATCACCAGGTCAGGCGATCTAGACCATCCTGGCTAACACAGTAAAACCCCTACTAAAAATACAAAAAATTAGCCATGCATGGTGGCACATGCCTGTAGTCCCAGCTACTCGGGAGGCTGAGGCAGGAGAATCACTTGAACCTGGGAGGTGGAGGTTGCAGTGAGCCAAGATCACGTCATTGCACTCCAGCCTGGCAAAAGAGTGAGGCAGGAGAATCACTTGAACCTGGGAGGCGGGGGTTGCAGTGAGCCAAGATCACACCATTGCAGTCCAGCCTGGCAACTCCATCTCAAAAAAAAAAAAAAAAAAAAAAGGCTGCAGGATTTGGCTAGGTTGTTGGTGATTTATGAGAAGGCACTTAAGTAGTTAAAACAAACCACACATTTAGGAAGTAAATGGGACAGAAATAGAGGTGGAAATCACAGACAAGGTGTTTTTAAATGTTTGACAATAAATACACCAAGAAAATGTAATGGTAGTTCATGTAAGACCAAAAGAACACTTCCAGGTATGTTTGAAAGCAAGAGGAAAGTGGCAAGAGATATTTAAGATGCCACAGGGAAAAGTGATAAGGACAGTGAGATTGCAGAACTAAACGGAATCATATTCTGTAGAAATGAAAGATTTTTTTCTTTAAAAAAATGGTAACTTTTTCGCAAAAGACTAATAAAAAGGCAAGAGGGGTAGTGATCTATAAGAGTGTTAATTAAATTCTATTGCCAATAATCATAAACTGTATTGTAAAGAATCAATCTAAATGGGATAACAGAAAGCAACTTAGTAATACAAAATGCATTACATGTAACAGTCAATAGGGATATGCAAATTAAAAGCACAATGAGATACCCCTTCAAATCCACTAAAATAATGAAAATGATAGACAACAAGTATTGGCGAGGATACAGAGAAATGGCTAAACTTCCTTTGGAAAACAGTTGGGCAATTTGTTTAAAAATTAAATATAAATTTACCATATGACCCAGAAATTTAACTCCTAGATATCAATTCATGAGAAATGAAAACATATATCCATACAAAGACCTCCACATGAATGTTCTTAGCAACCTTATTAACAGTAGCCAAAAATGGAAAACATCTTAAATGTCTACTGTAAACCCTGAATATCTGAGACAGGTGTCAGTTAATTTAGAAAGTTTATTTTGCCAAAGTTGAGAATGCATGCCCATGAGACAGCCTCAGGAGGTCCGGACAAAATGTGGCCAAGATGGTCAGAGCAGTTTGGTTTTATACATTTTAGGGAGACATGAGACATAAATCAACACATGTAAGATGAACATGGGTTTGGTCTGGAAAGGTGGGACAGCTCGAAGCTGGGAGGGAGCTTCCAGGTAATACGGAGATAAAGAGACAAATGGTTGCATTCTTTTGAGTTTCTGATTAGCCTCTCCAAAGGAGGCAATCAGATATGCATTTATTTCAGTGAGCAGAGGGGTGACTTTGAATAGAATGGGAGGCAGGTTTGCTTTCAGCAGTTACCAGCTTGACTTTTCTCTTTAGCTTAGTGATTTGGGGGCCCCAAGATTAATTTTCCTTTCACACCACCTACTGATGACTAGCTAGACAAACTGTGGTATATCCATATACTGTAATATTATTCAGCAAAAACAAGAATGAACTACAGATATATGCTATACAGCATGGACAAACCTCAAAAACATTATGCTAAATGAAAGAACCCAAACACAAGAGACCAATATTGTATGATTCCATTTATATGAAATGTGCACATGAGGCAAATCTCTAGAGACACAAACTGTATTAGTTGTTGCCTGGGGTGGTGGAATAAGAATGAACAGTTCATGAACATGAAGGATCTTATTAGGGAGATAGAAATGTTTTAAAACTGATTTATAGTAGTAGATGCATGAATTGGTAAATTTAATAAAAATCATTAAATTGATCCTTGAAGTGGGTGATTTGTATGGTATGTTAAATACCTAACCAACAAAGAAATGGAAACATATCCATGCACATGGATGGGTAGATTTAATATTGTGAAAATTACCATACCACAAAAAGCAATCTGTGAATTCAATGCATTTCCATAAAAATACCACTGTCCTTCACAGAACTAGAAAAAACAATCCTAAAATGCATACAGAACCAAAAAAGAGCCCACACAGCCAAAGCATGACTAAGCAAAGAGAACAAATCTGGAGGCATCACATTACCCGACTTCCTACTATACTATAAGGCTACAGTCACCCGAACAACATACCAGTGTAAAAACAGGCACACAGACCAATGGAAGACAATAGAGAACCCAGAAATAAAGCCAAACACAGCCAACTGATCTTCAACAAAGCATACAAAAACATAAAGTGGAGAAAGGACACCCTTATTCAACAAATGGTGCTGGGATAATTGGCAAGCCACATATAGAGGAATGAAACTGGATCCTCATCTCTCACCTTATTAAAAAAATCAACTCAAGATCGATCAAAGACTTAAATCTAAGACCTGAAACCTGAAAATTCTATAAGATAACATCAGAAAAAATTGTTTTAGACACTGGCTTAGGCAAAGACTTCACGACCAAGAACCCAAAAGCAAATGTAACAAAAACATAAATAGATGGGACTTCATTAAACTAAAAAGCTTCTGCACAACAAAATAATAATAATCAGCAGAGTAAACAGAAAACCCACAGAGTGGGAGAAAATCTTTGCAAACTATCCATCCAACGAAGGACTATTATCCAGAATCTACAAGGAACTCAAACCATCAGCAAGAAAAAAATAAACAGTCCCATCAAAAAGTGAGCTAAGGACATGAATAGACAATTCTCAAAAGAAGATACACAAATGGCCGACAAACATATGAAAAAATGCTCAACATCACTGATTATCGGGGAAATGCAAATCAAAACCACAATGCAATTTCACCTACTCCTGGCAAGAATGGCCATAATCAAAAAATAAAAAAAAAAAAAATAGATGTTGGTGTGGATATGGTGAAAAGGGAACACTTTTAAACTGCTGGTGGGAATGTAAACTAGTACAACCACTACGGAAAACAGTGTGGAGATTCCTTAAAGAACTAAAAGTAGATCTACCATTTAATCCAGCAATCCCACTCCTGGGTATCTACACAGGAAAATAAGTCACAATACTTAGGTGTTGATATAATACATCACTATATATAAATATACATATGCTATATGTATTTTTAAAAATACCACTTTATAATAACTCCAGAAGTTAGGTGTCCTTAAGAAGCACCACAAATTAATATATTTGCAACATGCACACATATTCTGTTTAGTCTGCTACAGTGCTATTTAAGGAAAGCATTTCTTGTGTTTTCTTCTCTCTCCACTATCATTGTTTCTAAACTGCTATACCAGATGGGCCCTAGAAAATAGATGGAGAACCATCAAGGATTTCATCCAGAACGACATTTTGGGCAAATGATTTTAAAATTATTTTGAAGTTTGGACACATTTAATGGTATGTAGTTATTTCGATTACAAGGTGAGTGGAACGTGAGTTCCACTTCTACTAATGCCGTAATGTATCCATATAACCCGGAACATTATTTTTGCAGCAGTTTATCTCCACACCTCTTCTTTCCCAATGTACAAAACTGTCCAAAGTTGAAACACCTAAATTTTTCCAGAATTAAATGCCAAGCACAGTGACTGACACAGAACGCAGTTAAACACTGTGGAAAGCTTGAATGAGTGAAAGCTACAAGACGCCACCGTGCGGCTCTCCACACTAGCAAGTTTCCGAGGTTCGTCCCACCCGGTTTCCCTGAACAAGTTCCCAACCGCATCATGTTTAGTTTAACTCCTTAACTCGGAGCGAGGCAACGGAAGAAAACAATGAGGCATGTTCTCTGTTTATGAAGCAATGAATGACGGCACGTGGGTGAGCGTGTCTAGCACGCCCTCTTTTAAGACTTTAAACAGTACATTAGCATGCTAACAGCAAGTTCTGGAAATAAAAGGAACGGCTTAGGGGGCTCTCTTGGAAGCCACAATGGAACCACTTGAATTCAAAGCACCCCTCTTTTCCTGGCAAGGCAGGGGCTACGGGAAAGAGAAAGCAGGTCCCCGGACGCTGTAACCCGTGCAACGTGCCCGCCAGCGTACCCCGGTCTTGCGCCTCCACGCCCAGCGCGGGCGATCGCTCTTCCCATGGCTGTGCCCCGCAGCGCGTCCTCCCCGGGGACGCCCGCTCAGCCGGGAGCTCGCGGCCGGTACTCACCCGCTGGGGATACTGTTTTTCTTCACCACGACGAGAGGGGTGCGGGCCCCACGTCTCAGGCAACCCAGCTCTCAGGCCTCCTCCAGAACAGACTCCAGGGGACGCTACAACGCGCGCGGGTAGAGGGAAGGCGAGGGTGATAGACCCAGGCAGCGAAGAGACCCCGCGCCTCGAAGGTTCCCGGAAGCGCGCGCTCCGGCCCGTTGGGCCCCGGCCGGTCAGGGGCCGCAGCGCGCACGCTCCTGGCGGCTACGCGGTGCAGCCCGCGGACGCCGTGTGGCGGGCGCCGGATGCGGTGGGACGGTTGGTGATTGTCCTATTCTGCGGTGGTAGAAGAAGCGCTCTGCTTGCGCTGCCCAGACGTAACAAAAGTGCATTATCCGTCCAGGTGAATATTGGGCTGCTGGTGAAGGTTCCTTTGATTCTTCCCTGTCAGACATTCCCGCATTTTTGTGGAGCTGTGCACCGTAGGGAGAACCAGCGGGGTAGGGATAACCAGAGCCGGGGCCGTGCGGGTCGCTGGGACTTGTAGTCCCGGAGCCTTGCCGACCCGTTCGTTGTCCAATTTAGGAATGAGTATGAGAAAATCACTCGAGAGCAGTGTTTGAGTTACATCAAATACGGGTCGGCATATTATTAATTCAGCGCCTACTGTTTGTGCTGAACGCCTTGCCCTAGTTTTGGTCTTCATATTAGGATAAGCAGAAAGATGAACTTGCATGGTAGAATGTAATGAACAAAAATTCGCATTACGAACTACAAATGCTGTTGGAAATCAAGAGACAGAAAAAACTTCCTGAAGATGTGGAGTTTGAATCAGGTTTTGAAACATGGTGTGCTATCCATTTGTGGGAAAGTTGTAAAAATTAAAGTATGGAGATGCCAGGGAGTATAAACAAGAACCCCATCCAGCTATAATTGAGGGATTATGTTGGAGAGTGGTCACTGCGGCTTAGATGGGGAAGTGGATGTGAGAGTTTTTGGCTTCACTTTCAGAAAGGGCCTCCCGGTTGACTTTCTCTCTAATTGAGACTATAAGTATAGACAGATACATCTTCAGGTTTGAATAAAAGACAACATTACAGGACTTAATTGTTTTGAGTTTCTGGACCTCCTGGCCAGTGGTTGCTCTAAGAATTAATACATTTTTATAAATTTTGTAATTCACTTTTGAGTAGCAAAACTACATTGCATGGTGTGTGTTAGATATAAATTTACAAAATATGACAGTTTTTGTAACCTGTTTCCACATTTTCATGATGCATTGTGTAACCATTTCCACATGCTAGAAGTTTTTCTGTGGTTTTATTTTGCTAACACTCCTGAAACCAAATGGCATGTGACAGAAGTAACCAAGATGATTGAAAATTGTGCCAAAAATAAGTCTGCTGATTCCTATAGTACATTTCTATGCAGTAGTCAGCACTTCAGCATTCTGTCACAACTAAAGCAAGTATCAAGGGATCTTGCATAGTTTTGTGCCTGCAGAATTGATTTAGAAATTTATTTAGGCCGAGAACAGTGGATCATGCCTATAATTCCAGTGCTTTGGGAGGCCAAGGCAGGAGGATTGCTTGAGGGCAAGAGTTCAAGACCAGCATGAGCAACATAGTGAGACCCTGTCTCTAAATAATAATAATAATAATAACAATAACAACAATAATAATTAGCTGAGCCTTAGAGACACATGCCTGTAGTCCTAGCAGCTCAGGAGGCTGAAGCAGAAGGATTCCTTGAGCCCAAGAGTTCAAGTCTGTAGTGAGCTATCATCATGCCACTGCACTTCAGCCTGAGCAAAAGAGTGAGACCCTGTCTCTAAAAAACAAATAGATAAACAAAAACTTGTGTGGCATGCTAGTTTCTATAAATGTCTGAGGAATTGTATGAACTTGGATTTAACTGTCATGTTGAATGATACTGTTGTATTAGGCCATTCTTGCATTGGAATAAAAGAACACTGGGTAATTTATAAAGAAAAGAGGTTTCACTGGCTCACAGTTCTGCAGGCTATTCAAGCATGGCTCTAATATCTGCTTTTGGTAAGGGCCTCAGGGAGTTTACAATCATGGCAGAAGGGAATGGGAGCCAGCATGTCACAAGGCAAGAGAGGAAGTAAGGGAGAGAAGGCTGGGGGGGCGGGGCTGAGACAAACTATTTTAAACAACTAGATCTCATGTGAACTAACTGAGCAAGAACTCAGCCATCACAAAGGGGATGCTACTAAGCCAGCCAAGAAGGATCCACCCCAACAATCCAATCACTTCCCACCAGGCCCTATCTCCATTACTGGGAATAACATTTTAACATGAGATTTGTAGGAGACAAACATCCAAATCGTATCATTCCACCCCTAGCCTCCCAAATCTCATATCCTTCTCACATTTCAAAATATAATTATGGTTTTACAGTAGTCCCTCAAAGTCTTAATTAATTCCAGCCTCAACTCAAAAATCACAACGTCCAAAGTCTCATCTGAAATTCAAGGCTAAGTTCCTTCCACCTATGAGCCTGTAAAATAAAAAAAAAACAAGTTATTTACTTCCAAGATACAATGGCAGTGCAGGCATTGGGTAAACATTCTCATTCCAAAAGGGAGAAATTGGCCAAAAGAAAGGAGTAATAGGCCCCATCCAAGTTTGAACTCTAGCAGGCTAGGCATTAAATCTTAAAGCTCCAATATAATCCTTGACTCCATATCCTGCATCCAGGGCACACTGGTGCAAGGGGCAGGCTCCCAAGGTCTTGGGCAGCTTTGCTTCTGTGGCTTTGCAGGGTGCAGCCCACATGGCTGCTATCATGGGTTAAAGTTGAGTGCTTGCAGCTTTTCCAGGCAGAGGGTGCAAGCTGTGGGTGAATCTACCATTCTGGAATCTGAAGGGTGATGATCTCCTTCCCATAGCTTCACTAGCCAGTGCCCCAGTGGGGACTCTGTGTGGGGTCTCTAACCCCACACTGCCCCTCAGCATTATCATAGTAGAGTTTCTCTATGACAGCTCCACCCCTGTAGCAGTCTTCTGCCTGGGCACCCAGGCTTCTTCATGTATCCTCTGATATCCAGGTGGAAGCTGCCAATCCTCCTTCATGCTTGCATTCTGAGCATCTGCAGACTTAACACCCTGTGGAAAACACCAAGGCTGACAGCTTGCACCCTCTGGAGCTGCAGCCTGACTTGTACCTGGGCTTCTTTGAACCAAGGCTAGAGCCAGAGTAGCTGAGATACAAGGTGCAGTGTCTTGAGGCTGAACAGGGTGGTGAGACCCTGGGCTTGCTCCCTGAAATCATTCATTCCTCCTAGGCCTGTGGGCCTGTAATTGGAGGGGCAATCTGGAAGACTTCTGAAATGCCTTTGAGGCCTTTTTGTCATTGTCTTGGATAATAGCACTTGGCTCTCTTTTAGTCTTGTTAATCTCTCTCACAAGTGATTGCTCCACAGCCTGCTTAAATTCTTTCTATACCACAGGGCCAGGCTGCATATGTTTCAAACTTCTGTGCTCTGCTTCCCTTTTAAATATAACTTCCAACTTTAAATCATTCCTTTACACCCACATCTGATAATAGCATGTTAGAAACAGTCATGTCACTTCTTGAATGCTTTGATGCTTAGAAATTTTTTCTGCCAGATACCTTAAGTCTTCACTCTTAAGTTCAAACTTCCACAGATTCCTGGGACATAGACACAGTGCAGCTAAGCTCTTTGCTAGGGCATAACAGGGATGACCTTTACTCCAGTTCCCAATAACTTTCTCATTTCTGTTTGAGACCGCATCAGCCTGGCCTTCACCGTCTATATCTCTATCAGCGTTTTGGTCACAACCATTTAGGCTGTCTCTAAGAAGTTCTAAACATTCCCTCATTTTCCTGTCTTCTTCTGAGCCATCCACACTCTTATAACCATTACCAAGTTCAAAGCCACTTCCATGTCTTCAGGTATCTGTACAGAATGCTTCACATCTTGGCACCAACTTTCTGTGTTAGGTCGTTTTTGTGTCATTATAAAGGAATTCCTGAGACTGGGTAGTTTATAAAGAAAAGAAGTTAAATTGGCTCACAGTTCTGCTGGCCGCACAAGTATGGCTCCAGCATCTGCTTCTGGTGATGGCCTCAGGAAGCTTACAATTGTGGTGGAAGGGAAGGAAAGCTGGCATGCCATATGGTGAAAGAGGGAGCAAGAGAGAGAAAAGGGAGGTGTGAGACTCTTTTAAGCAATTAGATCTCATGTGAGTGAACTGAGCAAGAACTCACTCATCACCAAGGGGATGGTGCTAAGCCATCCCTGAGGGATCCACTCCCACAATCCAATCATTTCCCACCAGGCTCCATCTCCAACATTGGGAATACATTTCAACATGAAAATTGAAGAGGAAAATAACATTCAAACCATATAAACTCTGCTGCAAACTGTTTGTGGAGCCAAAAAAAGAATGTGGAAAGAGACGTAAATCCCTTTTCATCTTTTCAGCCTCCACTGACCAAAACTATTTTAATTAAATTTAATGTTTTCTATAATTTAGAAATATAGTAATTTGAAATCAGTTAATTGCCTCTAATTTTGTTGTGTTACCATCAACAAGTTGTTCTTTTATTATTATTTTTAAATTGATGTTTTATTGGTTTTTATTTTGTAAGCCAACTTACAAAAGTTGGCTTCCATCCCAAAGACTCTACGAATGAGAATATGACATGTTAGGAATTCTGGCCTTTACAATCATGGAAAAAAAAAATGTTTGGTTTCATCTTTGACTTTAATTTCATTAATCACAAACATAAATTAATAAACTATGGTAAAATCTATTGTACTAATACTAAAGAAGTTTTTATTTTTATTTATTTATTTATTTTGAGACTGAGTCTCACTCTGTCACTCAGGCTGGAGTGCAATGGCATGCTTTCAGCTCACTGCAACCTTTGCCTCCCGGTTCAAGCGATTCTCCCACCTCAGCCTCCTGAGTAGCTGAGATTACAGGCACCTGCCATCATGCCCAACTAATTTTGGCATTTTTGTGGAGTTGGAGTTTCACCATGTTTGCCAGGCTGGTCTTGAACTCCTGACCACAGGTGATCCTCCCACTGCGGCCTCCCAAAGTGCTGAGATTACAGGGCCTGAGCCACCGTGCCTGGCCAGAAGTTTTTATGTTTTATTACATCTGTTATCCTGTGGGCACATCATTAATAGAAAGGTAAATGCTTGCAAAGCTACAAATTGGACTTTTGCATACTTTCATATACCAAGCCTAGCTAGGAAAAAATCTCCTGAACAATGCCCCCACCTTTATTTAATTTAATTTTATTTTTTAGCTTTTCAAAGTTTCAAGTGATACATTTCTTTTTGAATATTAAACTTACAACATAAGCCCTATGAAATTTCATTTCAGAAATCACCATAGTGATAGAGAAACTTCAGGTCATCTGATACAAAAATAGCTATTCTCAATTTCCTTGCCTTTTAGAAAAAGCTTTAATTGCAAGAATCGAAATTGTAGTAACCTCAAAGATAAAATAGGGTTTAACTGTTAGAGCCAATTTTCTAACACAGAAAATTGAACTGCTGTAAGAAGGCAGAAGTCTGCACTGTGATTTTTCCTTCTGCCTGAGATTTCAGCAGAGCAAGTGTAATTTTCACTTAGATCTGTTAATTTTATCCAAATTTTTAAATGACTGTTTATCTTATCTATTATGTAGAATGATAGATGAACAGGTTAGGAACACTTCCAAGTCTGCAAAAAATATGATTAATAATTTCTACGATAACATTTCATTTGATAGTTTGTTATAATTTTACTGTCTGTAGGATGTGTGCTACTGCTAATGCTTTCTCTAGTTGAGCAGACAACATTTACAAGTGTAGGCATCAATAAGCCAGCCATTGATTTTAAGTGTATTTTCGAATTCTTGCAGAATGGATAATAAATTCAAAATTACCTTCCCGTCCCCTGTCCCTTCTCCTTCCCTTCCCATCCTTTCGCTTTCCTTCCCTCCCCTGCCACCCGCTAAATCCTGCCAGGACTAGGTCTTTCCCTTCCAGTGAGGCACGTTCCCTTCTGGCCCAGGGTGGGTTTAGAACTGCCATTAAAAGATGAGGGCCTGGGGTCAGGGGTTTTAGGAATTTGTCTGGTGCTTTATTTTACTGGGGCTGAACTGGTACCAAAGTTGCAAGACTTAAATCCTCTCTGCTTTTCTTTTCTTAAGCAGAAGGGCTATGTGCTCATGGCCACCACTGCCCCAGGCCAGTGGTGACTGTACTGTGGCTACCCACTGATGTTTATTCAAGGCCCAAGGGGTTTTTAGTCAGCAGTTGATGAGTCCTAGCAAGCCTGGTTCTCTCCCTTCAGAGCTGCAGGTTCCCTTCTGGCCCCGGACGGATCTAGAAATGCCCTCCAATAGCTAAGGTATGGAATCAGGGACCAAGGAGTCTGCTAGGTGCACTTTATTTGACTGTGGCTGAGTTGGATACCCAAGTGTATTAGTCCATTCTCACACTGTTATAAAGATACTACCCTTTAAAAAGTAATTTATAAAGGAAAGAGGTTTAATTGACTTACAATTCCACATGGTTGGGAAGGCCTTGGGAAACTTAGAATCATGGTGGGAGGCAAAGGGGAAGCAAGGACCTTCTTCACATGGTGGCAGGAGAGAGAAATAAAAGCAGGGGAAATACCAGAGGCTTGTAAAACCATCACATCTCATGAAAACTCACTCACTGTCATGAGAACAGCTTGGGGAACCACCCCCATGATCTAATCACTACTGACTGGCTACCACTGATGTTTACCCAAGGCCCAAGGGCTCTTTAGTCAGCAGATGGTGAATTCTGCCAGGATTGCAACCTTTCCTTCAGGGCAGTTGGTTCTCTTCTGGCCCCGTGTTGGTCTAAAAATGTTACCTGGGAGATAGCGCCAGGAGTGGGGGCTTGAGGACTCTGCTTGGTGCTTTATTTTACAGGGACTGAGCTGGTATCCAAGTTGCAACACAAAGTACTCTTTGCTCTTCTCTCTCTTCCTAGAGCTGTGAGCTGTACTGCCTGAAGTTGGGGGAGGGGTGATGCAAGCACTCCCTTGGCCGTCCCAGTTGCTGTCTCACTGGATCATGTGTACCCTGAGCCTGCTGGCTCTGAGCCCAGCACAGTACCAGGACTTGCCCAGGAATTGTGGTCCTTGTGGGCTAGACTGCCTTTCAAGTTTATTAGGACCCCAGAGTGCTTTAGCCAATGGTGGTAGGGCTAGCTGGAAGTCAGGTTCTGACTGCTGGGATGGACAGTTCCCCTCTGGCTAGGGCTTGTCTAAATGCTCCCTCTGTGGATGCTGGCCAAATTCTGCCCTGTGTTGCTTTCCACTAGGTTAGGGGAGCAGATAGTTCCAATGAAAGTTCCCCAGTCACTTTGCTCTTCCTCCCCCAAATGCACAAATTCTCTCTTCCTGCCACACTGCGTGGGGATGAGAGAGAGGTGGTGTAGGCAATTCAAGATTTTCTTTCTTACTCTCTTCAGTGGCTCCTTCCTTGATATGATGTTAACACCAGGCACGATGATTGCTCACCTGATTTTTTGGTTCTTATGAAGGTGCTTCTTATGTGGATAGTTGTTCAATTTGTTGTTCCTGCAGGGCAGGTGATTGCTGGAGGATTCTGTTCAGCCATCTTGCTTTACCTTGTAAGAGTGAGTAGTTTCACCATATTTAAAGAGCTCATGCAAATTGATAAAAAGATGAAATTTAAGAAAACAAGCAAAATATATGAACTGGTATTTTAAAGGAGATGATGTTCAAGGGGCTGATGAATATTTGAAAAGATGTTCAATGACAAAACAAGATGCAAGTTTAACCCTCCTTGCTTTTTTTTGCAGTTATCAGAAGAGATGGATCACGTTACAGCTGAAGAAATTAGAGACAAGCATCTTCAAAAAGGTTCTCAATAAGTATACCATAACTCTGATATTCTTCATTTTTGTTTTTAACAGATGTAAACGATTAATCCTGTTCCAGAGTTTCAGCTGGGAACACAGATTTCCTAAGGAATCAGTTTAAAGAGAAATTAAACTTCCTAAATAGAACAAGATGGGCATAAGAAAACACATAGAAAAGTCAATGGATATAATAAATAACTGAATTCCATTTTCTTTTTGTCATTACAAACATGGAGAGTCCACTGGCGGTGAGACTGTTTTAGACCACAAAGATACATAGGTACAGAACCTGCTTCAGCAAACTTCAACTCTTAGGGAGAAAAATACAAAAATAATGGTTGAGCCCTGGTTCATTCACCAAGCAAGTATTTATTGAGCATGTATTATATGCCATCTACCATTCTAAGTTATGGGAATATAGTATAAACAAAACCAACTAGTAATTTTTAAATTTTACCAAGGAATACTGTGGTTAAACATGACCTATAGTCAGTTATTTAGCTTTATGCTTACTCTTTATTTCTACAATCTTACTATTTAACCTTTAACCACTCAAAGGCAGGGAATAGAAAAAACAAAAGGCAAGGCAAAGAGGTCTATAGGTCCCCAATTTTTTACTGTACTTAGGCCTGCATGATCTTGCATTATCTTTTTTTCAGTCCACCCAGTGGATGAGCAGAAAATAATATATGGCTCGGGGTACACACAAGGGCTTGGAAGTTTTTCTTTTTATACTTTAGGTTTTGGGGTACATATGCAGAATATGCAGGTTTGTTATATAGTTATACACATGCTATGGTAGTTTCCTGCATCCATCACTCCATCATCTACATTAGGTAGTTCTCCTAATGCTATCCCTCCCCTCTCCCCCTACCCCCCAAAGGCCCCAGTGTGTGATGTTCCCCTTCCTGAGTCCATGTGTTCTCATTGTTCAACTCTCACTTATGAGTGAGAACATGTGGTGTTTGATTTTCTGTTTCTGTGTTAGTTTGCTGAGAATGATGGTTTCCAGTTTCATCCATGTACCTGCAAAAGACACGAACTCATCCTTTTTCATGGCTGCATAGTATTCTATGGTGCATATGTGCCACATTTTCTTTATCTAGTCTATCACTTATGGGCTTTTGGGTTGATTCCAAGTCCCAGCTACTCTGGAGGCTAAGGCAGGTGAATCGCTTGAACCCAGGAAGGGGAGGTTGCACTGAGCTGAGATTGTACCACTGCACCCCAGCCTGGGCAACGAGCAAAACTCCATCTCAAAGAAAAAAAAATTGTAAAAAGAAGGTGACAGAAGATAGAAAAGTTGTCACAAAGAAAAAAATCAGTCCTGAATGGGTGAAAGTGTTCCAGATGGAGAAGGAGAAAGGACATCTATTGATCTTATAGCTCTCAGTGGATGGTAACCTAGTTTTCATAATTGTCATGAGTCTTAGGAATGCATGCAATTAAAGTATTTAATAAATACTTTTGCTGCTATTGTTGTTTAATTATAATAAAGTGTCAAAAACCCTTTATTATGTTGGTTTCCTGATAGATTTAGATGCAGAAGAAAATCAAAATGTAGTAAAGACGTTGAGAGGCAAAGTGAGAGAAAAGCAAAAAAATTCTAAGGTAATGCTTTTTAAATTTTCCTGTTTTCAAAGTTACTATTTAAATGAGACATATAGCACAATAAAGTTTTCTTTGTCAAAAGAGAGCCAAAAATAAATGTTAATATAGCTCCTTAATTCCTAAAAGCTTCCTATATATATATTTTTTCCCTTTGTCTCATAACATCTTTAGGATGTCAAACCTAAAGCCAAGAAGAGTTAGGTGATTTGGTCATAGTAATTATAAATGACATTTCTTCTATACATACCCCACTTTAAAGAAAAATAATGAGCATTCACTCATCTACTAATGTTTATTGAGCACCTACACATACCACACTTTTTAAAAGGAAAACATCGCAAAATCTTGATATTTATACATTTTGGACAAAAGATTTGAGCACAATTATGTCTATTTCTGTAAAGATGTATTGATATTGTGTTTCAGATTAACAAAGATGAAAAATCTTCAACTGAGCAGCTCATTGATAGCAAAATATATCAAAGAACCAAGGTGAATAACTTTTTTCTTTTTTTACTTTTTAAAACAGCATTATGGAAGTATAGTTTACGTAGCGAAACTTCACCTATTTGAAGTGGATGACTGAATGATTTTTAGTTAATTTACAGAATTATTCAATCAATACCACAGTTTAATTATCACTTGAAAAAGATTCTACTTTATCAGTGATTGCCCACTTGCGTTACTTTTTATCCTAAAAAAATTATAATAAAATATTGTTAAAAGATAGACTTAGGAACTTTAAACTTTTAAAGAGTTTGTTTGAACAGACCACAATTTGTGAATTGAGGAGTGCCAATCTACAGATGGTTAGGACTCTACCAAAGGGGCACATGGGGAAAACTTTTAAACGGTGCATGTGGAAGCAAGGCAAAGAAAACATTTGATTGACTAAAGTGGAGCAATAGTCTTAAAGTTCCTAGTTAGAGATTAGTTGGCAGTTTCCGATTGGTAAAACTAAAGTTTGATTTTCTTTGGATAGGACCATTCACACTGAGTTGGGTTTTGGTTTGCTTACATAGGAACTCAGGGCCCTAGAGCTGCTTCAGTCTAATGGCCTCCCAATGAATTATTTTAACAGTGTTATAGGTGATATCCAACTGACAGATTTTTAATGTGTAACCAATATTTGAAAATTCTATGTGTAGTTACATATTTGGAACTTGAAATGATAAAACAACTCCTCTTTTTAGAGAGTTATATCATTTAGAGTACAAGCTAAGTAGCTGTAACAAAAAGACTCAAAGTAAAGTGTTTTCATTGAGATAGAAGTTTCCTTTTATTCTCTAATGTAACAATTAAGTAATCCAGGCTGACAGGAGAGTGTTGCTATCTCCAATATGTGGTTTCCATCCATGAGTTCAATGGCAAAGCTCTAGTTTTTCTATTTGCTAGCAAAAGGGAAGTAGGAAAGAAAGAACCAAAGGATTTTGCGTTGATCTTTTAGGGGACAAGATCTGCAAACTGCATATACCATTTCCACCAAATGAACGTGGAAGAAGTGTCTAGGTTCTACTATTAGAAATGGGAGAAAAGCCTGTAATGGGCAACTAGTAGTTTCTGCCACAAGCACCTAGAGGATTTAGCTCTGCAAATTTTTAAATGCAAGGATTTTTTTTTATTGCATTTTAGGTTTGGGGGTACATGTGCAGAACATGCAAGACAGTTGCATAGGTACACACATGGCAGTGTGTTTTGCTTCCTTTCTCCCCTTCACCCACATTTGGCATTTCTCCCCAGGCTATCCCTCCCCACCTCCCCCTCCCACTGGCCCTCCTCTTTTCCCCCCAATAGACCCCAGTGTTTAGTACTCCCCTCCCTGTGTCCATGTGTTCTCATTTTTCATCACCCGCCTATGAGTGAGAATATGCGGTGTTTCATTTTCTGTTCTTGTGTCAGTTTGCTGAGGATGATGTTCTCCAGATTCATCAATGTCCCTACAAACGACACAAACTCATCATTTCTGATTGCTGCATAATATTCCATGGTGTATATGTGCCACATTTTTCCAATCCAGTCTATTACCAATGGGCATTTGGGTTGATTCCAGGTCTTTGCTATAGTAAACAGTGCTGCAATGAACATTTGTGTACATGTGTCCTTATAGTAGAACGATTTATAGTCCTTTGGATATATACCCAGTAATGGGATTGCTGGGTCAAATGGAATTTCTATTTCTAAGGCCTTGAGGAATCGCCACACTGTCTTCCACAATGGTTGAACTAATTTACACTCCCACCAACAGTGTAAAAGTGTTTCTTTTTCTCCACATCCTCTCCAGCATCTGTTGTCTCCAGATTTTTTAATGATCGCCATTCTAACTGGCGTGAGATGGTATCTCAGTGTGGTTTTGATTTGCATCTCTCTCATGACCAGTGACAATGAGAATCTTTTCATATGATTGTTGGCCTCATATATGTCTTCTTTCGTAAAGTATCTGTTCATATCCTTTGCCCACTTTTGAATGGGCTTGTTTGTTTTTTTCCTGTAAATCTGTTTGAGTTCTTTGTAAATTCTGGATATCAGCCCTTTGTCAGATGAGTAAACTGCAAAAATTTTTTCCCATTCTGTTGGTTGCTGATTCACTCTAGTGACTGTTTCTTTTACCGTGCAGAAGCTGTGGAGTTTGATTAGGTCCCATTTGTCTATTTTGGCTTTTGTTGCCAATGCTTTTGGTGTTTTGTTCATGAAGTCCTTGCCTACTCCTATGTCCTGGATAGTTTTGCCTAGATTTCCTTCTAGGGTTTTTATCGTGCCAGGTCTTATGTTTAAGTCTTTAATCCATCTGGAGTTAATTTTAGTGTAAGATGTCAGGAAGGGGTCCAGTTTCTGCTTTCTGCACATGGCTAGCCAGTTTTCCCAACACCATTTGTTAAACAGGGAATCCTTTCCCCATTGCTTGTTTTTTTTCAGGTTTATCAAAGATTGTATAGTTATAGATATGTTGTGTTGCCTCCGGTGCCTCTGTTCTGTTCCATTGGTCTATATCTCTGTTTTGGTACCAGTACCATGCTGTTTTGATTACTGTAGCCTTGTAGTATAGTTTGAAATCCAGTAGTGTGATGCCCCCTGCTGTGTTCTTTTTGCTTAGAATTGATTTGGCTATGTGGGCTCTCTTTTGGTTCCATATGAAGTTCATGGTGGTTTTTTCCAGTTCTGTGAAGAAAGTCAATGGTAGCTTGATGGGGATAGCGTTGATTCTGTAAATTACTTTGGGCAGTATAGCCATTTTCACGACATTAATTCTTCCTAACCATGAACATGGGATGTTTCTCCATCTGTTTGTGTCCTCTCTGATTTCGTTGAGCAGTGGTTTGTAGTTCTCCTTGAAGAGGTCCCTTACGTCCCTTGTGAGTTGTATTCCAAGGTATTTTATTCTTTTTGTAGCAATTGTGAATGGCAGTTCGTTCTTGATTTGGCTTTCTTTAAGTCTGTTATTGGTGTAGAGGAAGGCTTGTGATTTTTGCACATTGATTTTATATCCTGAGACTTTGCTGAAGTTGCTTATCAGTTTCAGGAGTTTTTGGGCTGAGGCGATGGGGTCTTCTAGGTATGCTATCATGTCGTCTGCAAATAGAGACAATTTGGCTTCCACCTTTCCTATTTGAATACCCTTTATTTCTTTTTCTTGCCTGATTGCTCTGGCTAGAACTTCCAGTACTATATTGAATAGGAGTGGTGAAAGAGGGCATCCTTGTCTAGTGCCAGATTTCAAAGGGAATGCTTCCAGTTTTTGCCCATTCAGTATGATATTGGCTGTTGGTTTGTCATAAATAGCTTTTATTACTTTGAGATACGTTTATTGAGGGTTTTTAGCATAAAGGGCTGTTGAATTTTGTCAAATGCCTTCTCTGCGTCAATTGAGATAATCATGTGGGTTTTGGTTTTGGTTCTGTTTATGTGGTGAATTACGTTTATAGACTTGCATATATTGAACCAGCCTTGCATCCCCGGGATGAATCCTACTTGATCATGATGAATAAGTTTTTTGATTTGCTGTTGCAATCGGCTTGCTGATATTTTATTGAAGATTTTTGCATCTATGTTCATCATGGATATTGGCCTGAAGTTTTCATTTCTTGTTGGGTCTCTGCCGGGTTTTGGTATCAGGATGATGTTGGTCTCATAAAATGATTTGGGAAGGATTCCCTCTTTTTGGATTATTTGGAATAGTTTCATAAGGAATGGTACCAGCTCCTCTTTGTGTGTCTGGTAGAATTTGGCTGTGAACCCGTCTGGACCTGGGCTTTTTTTGTGTGGTAGGCTCTTAATTGCTGCCTCGACTTCTGACCTTGTTATTGGTCTATTCATAGTTTCAGCTTCCTCCTGGTTTAGGCTTGGGAGGGCACAGGAGTCCAGGAATTTATCCATTTCTTCCAGGTTTACTAGTTTATGTGCATAGAGTTGTTTGTAATATTCTCCGATGATGGTTTGAATTTCTGTGGAATCTGTGGTGATTTCCCCTTTATCATTTTTTATTGCATCTATTTGGTTGTTCTCTCTTTTCTTTTTAATCAATCTGGCTAGTGGTCTGTCTATTTTGTTGATCTTTTCAAAAAACCAGCTCTTGGATTTATTGATTTTTTGAAGAGTTTTTCGTGTCTCAATCTCCTTCGGTTCAGCTCTGATCTTAGTTATTTCTTGTCTTCTGCTGGGTTTTGAGTTTTTTTTGGTCTTGCTCCTCTAGCTCTTTCAATTTTGATGATAGGGTGTCAATTTTGGATCTCTCCATTCTCCTCATATGGGCACTTATTGCTATATACTTTCCTCTAGAGACTGCTTTAAATGTGTCCCAGAGATTCTGGCATGTTGTGTCTTCGTTCTCATTGGTTTCGAAGAACTTCTTTATTTCTGCCTTCATTTCATTGTTTACCCAGTCAACATTCAAGAGCCAGTTGTTCAGTTTCCATGAAGCTGTGCGGTTCTGGGTTGGTTTCTGAATTCTGAGTTCTAACTTGATTGCACTATGGTCTGAGAAGCTATTTGTTATAATTTCATTTTTTTTGCATTTGCTGAGCAGTGCTTTACTTCCAATTATGTGGTCAATTTTAGAGTAGGTGTGATGTGGTGCTGAGAAGAATGTATATTCTGTGGATTTGGGGTGGAGAGTTCTGTAAATGTCTATCAGGTTTGCTTGCTCCGGGTCTGAGTTCAAGCCCTGGATATCCTTGTTGATTTTCTGTCTGGTTGATCTGTCTAATATTGACAGTGGAGTGTTAAAGTCTCCCACTATTATTGTGTGGGAGTCTAAGTCTCTTTGTAAGTCATTAAGAACTTGCCTTATGTATCTGGGTGCTCCTGCATTGGGTCCATATATGTTTAGGATCGTTAGCTCTTCTTGTTGTATCGATCCTTTTACCATTATGTAATGGCCTTCTTTGTCTCTTTTGATCTTTGTTGCTTTAAAGTCTATTTTATCAGAGATGAGAATTGCAACTCCTGCTTTTTTTTTTGCTCTCCATTTGCTTGGTAAATCTTCCTCTATCCCTGTATTTTGAGCCTTTGTGTATCCTTGCATGTGAGATGGGTTTCCTGGATACAGCACACTGATGGGTTTTGGCTTTTTATCCAATTTGCCAGTCTGTGTCTTTTGATTGGTGCATTTAGTCCATTTACATTTAGGGTTAATATTGTTATGTGTGAATTTGACACTGCCATTTTGATGCTAAGTGACCGTTTTGCCTGTTAGTTGTTGTAGATTCTTCATTATGTTGAGGCTCTTTAGCATTTAGTGTGATTTTGGAATGGCTGGTACTGGTTGTTCCTTTCTATGTGTAGTGCCTCTTTTAGGAGCTCTTGTAAAGCAGGCCTGGTGGTGACAAAATCTCTGAGTACTTGCTTATTCGCAAAGGATTTTATTTTTCCTTCACTTCTGAAGCTCAGTTTGGCTGGATATGAAATTCTGGGTTGAAAGTTCTTTTCTTTAAGGAAGTTGAATATTGGCCCCCACTCTCTTCTGGCTTGTGTTTTTGCCAAGAGATCTGCTGTGAGTCTGATGGGCTTCCCTTTGTGGGTGACCCGACCTTTCTCTCTGGCTGCCCTTAATATTTTCTCCTTCATTTCAACCTTGTTGAATCTGACGATTATGTGCCTTGGGGTTGCTCTTCTTGCGGAATATCTTTGTGGTGTTCTCTGTATTTCCTGCATTTGAGTGTTGGCCTGTCTTGCTAGGTGGGGGAAATTTTCCTGGATGATGTCCTGAAGAGTATTTTCCAGCTTGGATTCATTCTCTTTGTCCCCTTCTGGTACACCTATCAAACGTAGGTTAAGTCTTTTCACATAGTCCCACATTTCTTGGAGACTTTGTTTATTCCTTTTTGCGCTTTTTTCTCTGATCTTGATTTCTCATTTTATTTCATTGAGTTGATCTTCAACTTCAGATATTCTTTCTTCTGCTTGGTCAATTCGGCTATTGAAACTGTGCATGCTTCACGAAGGTCTCGTATTGTGTTCTTCAGCTCCTTTAATTCATTCATATTCCTCTCTAAGTTTTCCATTCTTGTTATCATTTCCTCAAATCTTTTTTCATATTTTTTTTAAGGTTCTTAGTTTCTTTGCATTGATTTAATACATGATCTTTTAGCTCACAAAAGTTTCTCATTATCCACCTTATGAAGTCTAATTCCATCATTTCATCACAGTCATTCTCCGTCCAGCTTTGTTCCCTTGCTGGTGAGGAGTTTTGGTCCTTTCTAGGAGGCGAGGTGTTCTGGTTTCGGGTGTTTTTCTCCTTTTTGCGCTGGTTTCTTCCCATCTTTGTGGATTTATCCACTTGTCGTCTGCGTAGTTGCTGACTTTTTGATTGGGTCTCTGAGTGGACACCCAGATTGTTGGTGATGAAGTATTTCTGTTGCTTGGTTTTCCTTCTACCAGTCTAGCCCCTTCGCTGTACAACTGCTGAGGTCCACTCCAGGCCCTGCTTGTCTGGGGTGCACCTATAGCAGCTGCGGAACAGTGAGGGATGCTACCAGTTTCTTTTTCTGCTATCTTTGTCCCAGGATGATGCCTGCCAAATGTCAGTCTTTTGGATATAGAGGGGTCAGGGAGCTGCTTGAGGCGACAGTCTGTACTTTATAGGAGCTCAATTGCTGAGCTGTGAGCTCTGTTGTTCATTCAGGGCTGTTAGGCTGCTATGTTTGATTCTGCTGCAACAGAGCTCATTAAAAAACCCTTTTTTTCTCAAATGCTCCATCTTGGGGGGTTGGGGCTTTGTTTTTGGATGTCCTTTGAGGTGTCCTGCCCAGCTAGGAAGCAGTCTAGTCACTATTTGCCTGCCGAGGCTCCGCCCTGCTGTTGTGAGGTTCGCCCTGTTGCTGCAGGCTCTGCTCTTCTGCTGCGGTCTCTGCCACGGGCTACGCCCTGCAGCGGGGTCTCTCTGTTGTAGCGGGTTGCCTCAGCAACAGCAGGCTGCGTCAGCAGTGGGCGTGTATCTCAGTAGGTGCGGGTTGCCTTGGTAATGGTGGATGCCCCTCCCCCACGGAGCGTCTCAGGGACCATCTCCACGGGGAGCGTTTGGAATCGCCATATTGTTCATCCCACTGTGCTACCCCAAACGCTGTGTCCCTGCAATCCTCTGGGCTGGCCCACTGTCCAAGTCTCATTCAGTCTCAAGTTCAGCCCTCTCAAGTCTCAGGTTGCTGGTTCAACAGGGCACCCGGACAAGCGCGCCCTGTGGGGAGCGCTGGGTAGGGCCGGCTGCCGCCACCCTGGCTGCTGGCTTCACCAGGCAGAGCCTCTGCCTGGCGTCCCGTGTCTCCTTTATACTTGGGAATTTCCTCGTTCTGTGGGCAACAAAGATCAGTCTGAAAATGCAGCTCTGACTCACCTGTCCACGGAATCACTGAGAGCTTCAATCCTGCATTGTTCTCACAGCGCCATCTTGAGTCCCCTACCTGGATTTTTTTTTTTTAATTTATCTTTGGCTCCTTCACAGTGCCTCTCTTAGGTGCTTAATAAAATTATTTTAATTAAATGTAAAGGTAAAAGACTAAAAAGTAATGTTTATATGCATGTTATTCACTCAACACATGAATTAAAACATGCCTGAATTGGATTTCATTTCACTATGAATAGTAAAAACTATAAAGAGTTACAAAGTTTATCAAGGTCAATCCACTGAGTACCAAGAAAAGGGGTTAAAAGGAAGAGAAATTGGCCCTTCTAAGAAACACGATCCCAATGACCACACAAGGGATATCTGCTCAGGAAGCAGACGATTTTAGCAAGTGATTTTGAGATGTGCAGAGATAATAGGAGATAAAAGCATATACTGACAATTCATATAAGCAGCATTGTTATAAGGTGAATAACTTTTAAGTTAATGTGATGGCTACATTGTTGATACAAATAATATAAGATAGCCTTTATCTTATAAGATAAAATCTTCTAAATTTATATTTTATAAAATTATAATATCTTACATAAAATTCATATGATTTTTGTTTTTACATATTTTAAATTATTTGATTCCTAGTAACTATGTTTTACTTTTCATTATAGAATTAATTCCTTTCCCAAGCTTTCCTTAAAACAGTTCATTTTAATATATGTGTGTAAGAAAGAAGTGATATGATTTGTTAATTCAAAGATTCAGACTTTACGGGAGTGGAAAATGAGAGCTTCTTTATCAGCGAGTTTACAGCTAAGAATATACCACTTTTCAGACTGTTAATTACTTCTAACTCCATGAAAGATTGTGGGCTGAGGTGGCACTTGTGTGTGGGGTGGGTGGGGGTCGGGGTACCTGAACAAGACAGCACCAAAAACAAGGAGAGAAAAGAAAGTTCCACCAGAGCCAGCATTTTGGTTAAACTCTTACCACCCAGACTAGAGTGAGGAGACAGTTTGGAAAGAAGGGAAAGATTTTGGCCCTATATTCTAGCTTTTCTTGCAGTTACCAAAACAAAAATAAAAACTCATGAACCAAACAAACTCAGACCTAAACATACCTTGACATACTCTGCCTTGATGCTCCCTGTTCGCTAGTGAGATAACAGTTATGTTTACCATAGTATTTCCTTTACTCATAAGCAGAAAAAGTATTTATTTTAACACTAAATACTGGTTTATCATTTTCTCCACAGACTGAAGTCTCATTGGATGAAAGCCTTTCATTTTTCATTCTGAGTGGTGAAGAACGTTCAGCTTTGGATAAATCTTCAGAGCAGGTTGGATTTGTTCGCCTCCCTCTCATCATCTCACTCTCAGGAAAAAATGATTCTTTATTAAAAGCACAGAATGAAATACATGGACAGGAGATGAAGTTCTATTATTGTGCCTTCCTCTTCTCTTTGAATTAAGGAACCGTTCATAATAATAAAACCTAGCATTTATTGAGTGCATTCTGAACGCCCAGTGATGACTAAGTTTTGAACACGGATTGTAGTATTCAATCCTCATCTTAGCCCTGTGAGGCAGGCATCATGCTTATCTTCACAGGTGAGGAAAATCGGGCAAAGAGGGTTAAGCCTTGATAGAGCTGGAAAGTCTAGGCTGTCAGCTCAAAAGCCTGTGTTTTCTTTATCTTTTTTGTTCCTATCCTTTCCAAGGGCCCCACATTGTTCTCCAGAATCTCTACTACTCCTCATGGTTTCCCCGTCCTTCATTCCTCCCAATCCAATCCCAAGCCCTGCTTCTAGTCAGTCCTTCCCAGTACCCCTCAAACTGCGTAGTCTCCCTGTTTCTCTGGGGCTGCCTTTTCCTCCAGTCCTACTTAGCCTCACTGGTCTTTCCCATCTCCTCACTTGTCTCCCTGTCTGCTGTTGTTCCCGGACACTTTCTTCAGTTCCTCTGTACCTCCAGTCTCCCCACGGTTTTCTCGAGCCCCCTGCTACCCAGTCCTCCTATTATTCCCCACAGTTCCACGTCATATCTTTTGACACCTCTCAGTCCCTCCACATCCCTCGGGGCCTCTTGTCAAGTCCCTCTAGGACCCTCATTTGCCTTCCTACTTAACTCCCAGTCCCTTCCCGTCCCCTTTCTTTGCGTTCTGCTCCAGTCCTTTCATTCTCTTTTCTTGTTTTTCCCACAATTAAAAAAAAACAATTCTTAAAATTTTGAAGAAATAAAACATACACAGTATAAAAACATAATGCAGGAAGCCTCCAGGAAGAAAATAAAAATCACCTGAAATCCCGCTGTCCTAAGATAGTCACTATTATCGTTTTTTCATACTTTTCTCTATGCTTAGCCCTATACATGCACACAGAGGTTTTTTTTTTAAATTATGCTTTAAGTGCTGGAATACATGTGCAGAACGTACAGGTTTGTTACACAGGTATACACGTGCCACGGTGGTTTGCGGCATCTATCAACCTGTCATCTACATTAGGTATTTCTCCTAATGCTATGCCTCCTCTATCCCCCAAACCCCCTGAGAAGCTGCAGTGTGTGACGTTCCCCTCCCTGTGTCCATGTGTTCTCATTGTTCAACTCCCACTTATGAGTGAGAACATGTGGTGTTTGGTTTTCTGTTCCTGTATTAGTTTGCTGAGAATGATGGTTTCCAGTTTCATCCATGTCCCTGCAAAGGACATAAACCCATCCTTTTTTATGGCTGCATAGTATCCCATGGTGCATATGTGCCACATTTTCTTTATCCAGTCTATCATTGATGGGCATTTGGGTTGGTTCTAAGTCTTTGCTATTGTAAACAGGGCTCCAATAAGCATACATGTATATGTGTCTTTATAGTAGAATGATTTATAATCCTTTGGGTATATGCCCAGTAATGGATTGCTAGGTCAAATGGTATTTCTGGTTATAGATCACTGAGGAATCGCCACACTGTCTTCCACAATGGTTGAACTAATTTACACTCCCACCAATAGTATAAAAGCATTGCTATTTCTCCACATCCCCTCCAGCATCTGTTGTTTCCTGACTTTTTAATGACTCAAACTGGCATGAGATGGTATTTTATTGTGGTTTTGATTTTCATTTCTCTAATGACCAGTGATGGTGAACTTTTTTCCATATGTTTGTTGCCCGCATAAATGTCTTCTTTTGAGAAGTGACTGTTCATATTATTCCCCCACTTTTTGATGGGGTGGTTTGTTATTTTCTTGTAAATTTGCTTAAATTCTTTGTAGATTCTGGATATTAGCCCTTTGTCAGATGAATAGATTGCAAAGATTTTCTCACATTCTGTAGGTTGCCTGTTCACTCTGGTGACAATTTCTTTTGTTGTGCAGAAGCTCTTTGGTTTACTTAGATCCCATTTGTCAATTTTGGCTTTTGTTGCCATTGAGTTTGGTGTTTTAGTTATAAAGTCTTTGTCCATGCCTATGTCCTGTATGGTATTGCCTAGGTTTTCTTCTATGGTTTGCATGGTTTTAGGTCTTATGTTTAAGTCTTTAATCCATCTTGGGTTAATTTTTATATAAGATATAAGAAAGGGGTACAGTTTCAGTTTTCTGCATATTGTTAAACAGTTTTCCCAACACCATTTATTAAATAGGGAATTATTTCCCCATTGCTTTTGTCAGGTTTATCAAGGATAGATGGTTGTAGATGTGTGGTGTTATTTTTGAGGCTTCTGTTCTGTTCCATTGGTCTATATATTTGTTTTGGTACCAGTACCATGCTGTTTTGGTTACTGTAGCCTTGTAGTATAGTTTGAAGTCAGGTGGCATGATGCCATCAGCTTTATTCTTTTTGCTTAGGATTGCCTTGGCTATATGGGCTCTTTTATGGTTCCATATGAAATTTAATTTTTCCAATTCTGTAAAGAAAGTCAATGGTAGCTTGATGGGGATAGCATTCAATCTATAATGGCCATTTTCATGATATTGATTCTTCCTATCCATGAGCGTGGAATGTTTTTCTATTTGTTTGTGTTCTCTTTTATTTCCTCGAGCAGTGGTTTGTAGTTCTCTTTGAAGAGGTCCTTTACATCCCTTGTAAGTTGTATTCCTAGGTATTTTATTCTCTTTGTAGCAATTGTGAATGGGAGTTCACTCATGATTTGGCTTTCTATCTGTTTTTGGTGTTTAGGATTGCTTGTGATTTTTGCACATTGATTTGGTATCCTGAGACATTGCTGAAGTTACTTATCAGCTTAAGGAGATTGGGCTGAGGCCATGGGGTTTTCTAAATATACAATCAGAACAAATGCAAACAGAGACAATTTGACTTCCTGTCTTCCTAGTTAAGTGCCCTTTATTTCTCTCTCTTTCCTGATTTCCCTGGCCAGGACTTCCAATACTATGTTGAATAGGAGTGTCTTGTGCTGGTTTTTAAAGGGAATGCTTCCAGCTTTTGCCCATTCAGTATGATATTGGCTATGGGTTTGTCATAAATAGCTCTTATTATTTAGAGACACATTTCGTCAATACCTAGTTTATTGAAAGTTTTTAACATGAAGGGGCGTTGATTTTTATTGAAGGCCTTTTCTGCATCTATTGAGATAATCATGTGGTTTTTGTCATTGGTTCTGTTTATTTGATGGATTACGTTTATTGATTTGCATGTGTTGAACCAGTCTTGTGCCAGGGATGAAGCCAACTTGATTGTGATGAATAAGCTTTTTGATGTACTGCTGGATTCGGTTTGCCAGTATTTTATTGAGGAGTTTCACATCAATATTCATCAGGGATATTGGCCTGAAATTTTTTTGTTGTTGTTGTGTCTCTGCCAAGTTTTGGTATCAGGATGATGCTGGCCTCATAAAATGAATTAGGGAGGATTCCTTCTTTTTCTATTGTTTGGGATAGTTTCAGAAGGAATGGTACCAGCTCTTCTTTGTACCTCTGGTACAATTCAGCTGTGAATCTATCTGGTCCTGGACTTTTTTTTTGGTTAGTAGGCTATTAATAACTGCCTCATTTTTGGAACTTATTATTGGTCTATTCAGGGTTTTGACTTCTTCCTGGTTTAATCTTGGAAGGATGCATGTGTCCAGGAATTTATCTATTTCTTCTAGATTTTTCTAGTTTATTTGTGTAGAGGTGTTTATAGTATTCTCTGATGGTAGTTTGTATTTTTGTGGGATCAGTGGTGATATTCCCCTTATCATTTTTATTGTGTCTATTTGATTCTTCTCCTTTTCTTCTTAATTAGTCTGGCTAGCAGTTTATCTATTTTGTTAATCTTTTCAAAAAACCAGCTCCTGGATTCATTGATTTTTTTTAAGGGTTTTTTTTGTGTCTCCATCTCCTTCAGTTCTGCTCTGATCTTAGCTATTTCTTGTCTTCTGCTAGCTTTTGAATTTGTTTGCTCTTGCTTCTCTAGTTCTTTTAATTGTGATGTTACAGTGTCGATTTTAGATCTTTCCTGGTTTCTCCTGTTGGCATTTTAGTGCTATACATTTCGCTCTAAACACTGCATTAGCTGTGTCCTAGAGAGTCTGCTATGTTGTGTCTTTGTTATCATTGGTTTCAAAGACCTTATTTATTTCTGCCATAATTTGATTATTTACCCAGTAGTCATCTGGGAGCAGGTTGTTCAGTTTCCATGTAGTTGTGTGATTTTGAGTGAGTTTCTTATTCCTCAGTTCTAATTTGATTGCATTATGGTCTGAGAGACTGTTATGATTTGCATTCTTTTGCATTTTCTGAGGAGTGTTTTACTTCCAATTGTGGTCTATTTTAGAATAAGTGTGATGTAGTGCTGAGAACAATGTATATTCTGTTGATTTGGTGTTGAGAGTTCTGTAGATGTCTATTAGGTCTGCTTAGTCCAGAGCTGAGTTCAAGTCCTCAATATCCTTGTTAATTTTCCATTTCATCAATCTGTCTAATATTGACAGTGGGGTGTTAAAGTCTCCCACTGTTATTGTGTGGGAATCTAAGTCTCTTTGTAGGTCTCTAAGAACTTGCTTTATGAATCTGGTTGCTCCTGTATTGGGCACATATATATTTAGGATTGTTAGCTTTTCTTGCAGTGTTGATCACTTTACCATTATGTAATGCCCTTCTTTGTCTTTTTTGATCATTGTTGGTTTAAAGTCTGTTTTATCAGAGACTAGGATTGAAATCCCTGCTTTTTTTTTTTTTTTTTTTGCTTTAAATTTGCTTGGTAAATCTTCCTCACGTCTTTGTGCATGAGATGGGTCTCCTGAATACAGCACACCAATGGGTTTTGACTCTTTATCTAATTTGCCGGTCTGTGTCTTTTAATTGGGGCATTCATCCCATTTACATTTAAAGTTAATATTGTTATATGCAAA